CATTGAATTCTTAGACCATCTTGCTTCACTTTCTGATACGTTTCCCGGTCACACGCGTGACGTTCGATTTTTCCTGTTTTTTCGCCAACTCGATTCGATAACGCGATACTTTTAGCGTTCTCTAGAAAGATAAATATTACTCGCGCGCACCATTGAACAAAATGGAAATAAAACAGAAACGCGACCGTCCATTCCGGTATCCAACGCTTCCTCGACCCTGCCGCCGCTGCAGCACTTCCGGTCGGCGAAAGTTTATCCGACGCCCGCTCGATTTTACTATCAATTAGCGAATTTAAAACGTGCCGGGGCTATCGCCCTGCCCGGGGCCCATTAAGCGTTAATGTAAATCATTCTCACGGCAAACATCACGCTCGCCAGCGTATTTAATCCCGCCTCGTATTTATTATACGCTTGGAAAAGCTTCCGCGGCTCGATGATCGATAACAGAGATCCTGCTCGGGGTCTACGAACGTTCGTGGCATTACTGGTACCTCGAAACGGGACGTGAAAATTTTGTTTCTTTTTTTTTCGGTAATTTTTAAAATTCGTATGACTTAGTAGACGTGAGTCTTTACGAAGTTACATAGGTATAGTTATAATTATTTTGTTATTGTATTTTGTTGTATTTAGTTTTCTGAATTTTGGTAGTTCTTGAAATTTGTGTAAGTTAGTGGACGTAAGTCTTTACGGAGCTACATACGTTTAATTATTTTGTTATTGCATTTTGTTGTATTTCGATTTCTGAATTTTAGTAGTTCTTAAATTTCTTATGAGTTAGTAGATACGAGTCTTCACGAAGCTACATACGTGTAATTATTTTGTTATTGTATTTTGTTGTCGTGCTTCGTTTTCTGAATTTTGGTAATTCTTAAAATTCCTATAACTTGGTAGACGTGAGTCTTTACGAAGTTACATAGGTATAATTATAATTATTTTGTTATTGTATTTTGTTGTATTTAGTTTTTTGAATTTTGGTAGTTCTTAAAATTCGTATAACTTAGTAGACGTGAGTCTTCACGAAGCTACATACGTTTAATTATTTTGTTATTGTATTTTGTTGTCGTATTTCGTTTTCTGAATTTAGATAATTTTTAAGATTCCTATGAATTGTGAAAATTTTTTTTTCTTTTTTTGATAATTCTTAAAATTCGTATGACTTAGTAGACGTGAGTCTTTACGAAGTTACATAGGTATAATTATAATTATTTTGTTATTGTATTTTGTTGTATTTAGTTTTCTGAATTTTGGTAATTCTTAAAATTCGTATAATTCAGTAGACGTGAGTCTTCACGAAGCTACATAGTGTAATTATTTTGTTATTGTATTTTGTTGTCGTACTTCGTTTTCTGAATTTTGGTAATTCTTAAAATTCCTATAACTTGGTAGACGTGAGTCTTTACGAAGTTACATAGGTATAATTATAATTATTTTGTTATTGTATTTTGTTGTATTTAGTTTTCTGAATTTTGGTAGTTCTTAAAATTCGTATAACTTAATAGACGTGAGTCTTCACGAAGCTACATACGTGTAATTATCTTGTTACTGTATTTTGTTATCGTACTTCGTTTCCAAAATTTTAGTGTCGAGTAGAAATTTCTGATGCTTAAATTTGATCGTAGTTATATAAAAGAATCTCCGAGTTACGACTTGTGTATAACGAAAACAGATTGGTGAGCAGGAAATTGAACTATCATCGATTCGAGCAATTTACAATTTAACGACACTTAGACGCAACTACTGCAAATTGATCCGAGTCCGCGCGACGACGAGCTTTGGATTTTTTGGCCTCTGTCATGGTATCGCGTGCGTGTGCCTGGCCAGGATGAACGGCTATCTGCTGGCAGGAAATTAAACGTAAAACCCTGAAAAATTGAAAACTCGCCGACCGGAAGCAGACGTCTCTAACGCGCGGCGATAAACCGTGGAAGAGGAATTAGAAGGACGGACTGAACGCATTACGAGCAAATGACCGTTGCTTCGCTGATTATCCATTGTCTGCTTCTATGTCGATGATTGCGAAATGGTTTGTGGTCGAAAAAAATCGTGGTCACCGATTATTTCCGCGTTCGAAGTACGATTAGCCGTTTTATGGGAAGAAATTGCCTTTGGTTTGCCTTGGTTTGCCTTGGTTTGCCATGGTTTGCCTTGGTTTGTATTAATCATGGAAGCACTCGTTAATGGTATTTCTCAGAGTTCATTGACTAGAGTTCTTAAGCACTTTGTAAACGTAGAAATCGATCCAGTGATTTGTCACAGGTTTCTATTTTCCTAGCTAACGTGGTTTGAGATTGTTTGATGCTCTCAATTTACGTCAATCCTGTTCCAAACAGTGAATGTCATAATAACAGTACGATTAATCGTGTCACATTCACTGTAATGGAAAAATCGCTACAATTTTCTATATTTTATCCACAGAATTCCAAATTTGTACTGTTGAGTTTCTATCTCAAACTACCTCATACATATTCCAACCAATTAATTCTACAACGCAATTCGAGCTAACTTTCCATCACGCTTATTGTCACTCACTAATCAGGATAATTTCATATTTGAACCACAAGTTATCCAAATCTTCGTCACCTGTTCTCGCTCCAAACTCTCTCACACATCTTCCAACCAATCATCTTCACGATCTCGAAATTAATCCCACATCACACGCACGTAAACCCAAAAATCTTGATAATCGAATCTCCAGCAGACGTTTTAAATGGTCCATGTCCAACAGACGAAGCTACTCGTCATCTGCAAACTCTCTCACACATCTTCCAACCAATCTTGTTCACGGTTTCGAAATTAATCATGAGTTTCTATCTCAAACTACCTCATACATATTCCAACCAATTAATTCTACAACGCAATTCGAGCTAACTTTCCATCACGCTTATTGTCACTCACTAATCAGGATAATTTCATATTTGAACCACAAGTTATCCAAATCTTCGTCACCTGTTTTCGCTCCAAACTCTCTCACACATCTTCCAACCAATCATCTTCACGATCTCGAAATTAATCCCATATTACACGCACGTAAACCCAAAAATCTTGATAATCAAGTCTCCAGCTGACTTTTTAAATGGTCCATGTCCAACAAACAAAGCTATTCGTCATCTGCAAACTCTCTCACACATCTTCCAACCAATCTTGTTCACGGTTTCGAAATTAATCCCACATCACACGCACGTAAACCCAAAAATCTTGATAATCAAGTCTCCAGCTGACTTTTTAAATGGTCCATGTCCAACAAACAAAGCTATTCGTCATCTGCAAACTCTCTCACACATCTTCCAACCAATCTTGTTCACGGTTTCGAAATTAATCCCACATCACACGCACGTAAACCCAAAAATCTTGATAATCAAGTCTCCAGCTGACTTTTTAAATGGCACGTGTCCAACAGACGAAGCTACTCGTCATCTGCAAACTCTCTCACACATCTTCCAACCGACCAATCTCGCAGCACGACGCTGCCTAATCCCGTCGGACTGCCTGTGACAGAAAAATGGCGCCTATTTCGCGCCCTGCTCTTAAAATTCCGTATCTCCGTCGTACATTCCTATCTTTTGAAACGTCCAGCAAATGAAGTTGCTCGCTGTCTCCAAACCCCCTCGTACGTCCTCCAACCAATCAATCTCGCAGCATGATCCTACCTAATCCCGTCATGCTGACTGTGACAGAAAAATGGCGAGAATTTCGCGTTTTACTCGCAGAATTCGAAATTCCTTCGTTCACACTGGTCGACAGGCAGAAATCTCGCGATGATCCCGCGCGTGACGAGGCTAGACAGAGCGAAAACTAGCTGCCGGTTTGACCTCTCGAGGAATCAATACTCCGACACAGTGAGAGGGACATTTTTAGCCGGGCCATTATGACGCGGTGCCTGAATGTTTCATCTCGTTTGTGGATAACTCGATTCGTTAATCGGCCCGCGGAGCGTTATCCAGCTCGCCCGAAAGGGGACTCTGCTAAGTTTAGCAGGGCTTGTTAGAACCAGCTTCGAGGCAAATGCGAATAGGAAATCGAATCCGCCGAATTATTCGAATGACGCTAATCGTGGATTTATTAATTCATCGTAATTGATTAAAATTGATATTAATTTGCGATATAATCGGTAGGTAGTATTACGTGTTATTATACAGGGTGTTGCATTTATTCTGGCAATGGAAAATACTTTGACAGGGATGGTCTAGTGTACTTATGTTAAAAGTTAAATCTGCTATTTTTCTTTGAAAATCGAGGTTGATTTTCGTATGTTCTCTGTGTGTACACTCACAAAGAAGTAATTATACTCTCTTTTGACAGCCCTGAAATTAGTCAATTCGCGTTTGAAATATTTTTTCCACAGCCAGTAATTTTTATTCTTAGATTAAAATCGGGCACCTTGTATAATATAATTACAATTTATTATTATTAAGGAATACTAGTTAAAATTTTGCGAGGCAGAAATAATATACAATTTTATTATCATTGTGAGAATGTAATTATTAAAATTCAGGAAATTCAATTAAAAGTTCCCCAAAAAATTTTTCAAATTCTTCAATTAATTATTTCTTCCGATATTATTATTATTAATATTATTGAACCTTAATATACGTTATGGAAACAAACGTCTATCCGACTTTTCTTCAAATTTATTATTCCACAGAATTTATACGAAGATTGGCATAGTAGTTTTCTATAATTCGATACGAAACACCGTGTATTAAAATTAACTTTCTTTTTCCGGGTCTATCGTCGTTTACTCGCACATTTGAATTACCCACGAACCGAGTATCCCGAGCTTTTTTAAAAGCTTTTCCTGGGGAATTAATAAAAAGACATTTGCTCTTGGGAGTGTCGGTGGATAAAGAGCGAAGTGGTAAAACGGAAGTTAAAAATGGGCGAATTTATATCGCGAAATGGTAACACCAGTAATGGGACCAACGCAAAGACGTTAGAATTCTAACTTCCACATTTTTTTCCCCGTTTTGTTTCTTTTCTTTTCCCCCTTCACGTTGTTTCAGACAGCTGCTCGGGAACGGCACCCTCTACTTTCCGCCATTTCTGGCGCAGGATTTTCGGGCGGAAGTGCACAACGCTAGGTACAGGTGTCGCGCGACCAGTTCAGTGGGAGCAGTGCTTTCTAGGGAAGTTACACTTCGTGCCGGTGAGTCACATTGCACATACTTTTACTAGAACTTAAAGAAATAACTCATCGAATTACCGATTAACGTAGAACTGATTTTACAATTTAACGTGATATCGATCTTTCGAGTCAAGATAATTAAAACAAATATCTTTGCATTTTATTATTAAATTTCGCGAAATCAGTCTTAGTAATATTTTCTTTTATTCGTTTATTTATTTTTCGGAAATTCTTCGTTTAACAGATTTATTAACCTATATTTATTATTATAGGAGGATTCTGGGAATTACAATCTTTGAGTTTGACAAATATTTCGAATTCGCGAAAGTAACTATTTTTTTTGTTCGTAATATTATTTATGCTTCAGAGATTATTTATTCACGAGTATTGACTGGCATTAGTATTATTAACACTAGAACTACCAACCCAGTCAAAATGACTGGTCCCAGAATTTTCCTTTTTGCAATCACCGAACACATAGACCTTCTTTAAGAATAAAATTGGTATCAACTCGTATTAAGAAAGAACTGTAATCGATATATTCACTCATATTCCTCGTACCTGCTGAAATTACTATAATCTGTGCACGTTATAGTTAGGTGCCCAGTAAAGATCGGTAGTTCTAGTGTTAAAAGGGAGTTGTTGTTTATTAGACAAATTAGCAAAAAGTCCTACAGTTAGAGGTATCGTCGTCTTTTAACTCATTGTCAGCCCAGTTCTCCAGCATAGAAGTAAATATAGGCAATGATAAACCTGACTACGTCTATACTCGTCTCCCTAATCCACCAGAATTCAGTATTTTCCTCCGAATGGCCATAATATTTTATTTCAACAAACTTGTATTATTAACACTAGAACTACCAACTCAGTCAAAATGACTGGTCCCAGAATTTTCCTTTTTGCAATCACCGAACACATAGACCTTCTTTAAGAATACAATTGGTATCAACTCGTATTAAGAAAGAACTGTAATCGATATATTCACTCATATTCCTCGTACCTGCTAAAATTACTATAATCTGTGCACGTTATAGTTAGGTGCCCATTAAAGATCGGTAGTTCCAGTGTTAAAATACTTGGTCTCTGATGATAGTCTTGATTGTAGACTATGCTATATTAAATTTTCTTTCTTCCTCCTATAACATTCCAAATATTAAAAATAATAAAATACGTCTACAAACGAAGATTGACGCAGAAAGTGATTGCAAAAATTCCAAAGATGTGTAATTAACAAAAATCCGTTTCCACGCTATAACTATCAGACCAGTGGAAGTGCCAAATTAATTATATACTATTTTTGCATTCGCCTGGATTGAAATTACTTCCGCCTTTCTCTGATAAAATTAACGTTGACATTTATTAAGATCTACTCGTGCCGGAATATATCGCATAACTTATTTCCACCATACCCTTCCAATTATAACCACGTTCAACTGACAATTCCGCCATCGAACCTAACCCAACTTTCTTTAATAATGAAAAATTGTCAATCAAAATAGAATCTTGGTAATAAATCAAACGCTCCGTCACACGAATCCCTGTTGCCTTTGATTATGATTCTCCGCGATCTATACACGCTTCCCGCGGAACGCGATCGAAGAGACGATGCGCGCGCAGCTGCGCGCGTCATTCGAACGGCAAGAAATAAGGGCCGACGCGCGAACGAATAATTAAAAGATGCTGTGCGTTGCGTTTTATCCGCTTCTCTGCGGGGCATGTCGAGAGCAGGCCAGCGCGTTAATAACATAAAAATAGCGCAAAATATCGCCGAGGGAAAAGCGTTTCGCTTTTGCCGCGTTCCCGCACGTACGGACAGAAGTCTCATTATCGTGTCCCAGTGCGGTGCTCATTAATTACTATGCTTTTTTCCCCGATCTCCGTGAATCGGGAGAGAACGTGCTCGCAGACGGTTGTTCAGAAACGGCATACGCAGTATCGAGAGCATAATCGCGACTTCGGCGCGAGTTTATAATTAAAAATTTCTTTTGCCATTCATGAGTCGTGTTTTGCTGCAGCGGGAGCTCGTTTCGGTTCTCTCTGCGTGTTCCTAACCTCTTTTTGGTCCAGATACCATTCGACGTTGATTTACAGTGGTTCGTAATGGACTATAGAAGTTGCGTCTCTCGGTCGATTATTCTTCGAGTTTTGTCATAGCCATCGATTAAGAACAGGCTAACCTCGTAGAATTTTATTTTCCTATTATTATTTAATATTATTATCGAATAAAATTGTTGGGAATTTCGGGAAGGAAATCCAAATGATTAGCGTACAGAGTAGTAACCGTATTCAGTTGTACAGCTATTGGATGTATAAAGTTTAATATAAGTGAAATGTATACGCTTTAGGCGAATATAAAAATAAAACTAAGAGTCTTACTACTTTGGGTCACAATACATAAGCTATCTGCACTGTTCCGGATTTGAGAGTGAGAGCAGCGAGGGACAGAAGGCCCTTTAACACATTGAGTGCTACGTCAGTCCCTAGAAACTGACTTTAGTAGACTTAGTAGACTTTTCGTTTGGACGGTGTGGATTCTAGGGACTGACAGCGAATTTTTCGTTTGATCATCATCGGTACGTAAGACTGGCATTGTCAAGGATTAAATTATCAATGGCAATTAATATATTGTAAAAATTTCATTCCCTCTGCTAAAGTAAATCTTTACACTTCCGTGGCTTTTTTCGACTGATCGTTTCTTGGTGATTGCCTTTTTGCCTTTCTGGCATTCTCCACCCCATTATCTTCTGTTTATAATTTGTATATTTGTGCATTGGCTGTACCATTCTCACAGTCCAAACGACAAAGTGAAACAAAGTAACCTTCTGCTCATACTCTTCGGTATACTTGAGCGCTCGGCATCAAGTGCTCACTAGCTACCGCCTGAGCGGAAAGTATAGCAAAATCGGCGCCGCACTCAACGTGATAAACCCCCAAAACCGACCCCTTGATGCCTGCATAGTATCTTGAGGTCCAAAGGTCGGTATTGGCCTGCAACCTCTAACCTGCAACCTGTCACTATCGTTGCATAGGTGTAGCTAATTTCCAACAAAAATTACCAAAGTAAATAATCAACGTCATTATTTTATTATTTCGTATGAACGAAAGACACGGATGGTTTGGAAGGGTCTCGCGTATTTATCCACGTTTCTTCCCCACGGCGACCATAACTATAACCAGTAGCATTGTCCATTACCCCACAAGTGGGCCGAATCCGTAAGTTTGGTCCAGGCATTTCCGGCTCGTTTCCCAGGATGCTATCCGCGAGGCGTGATCGGTAAACAGGGCACCTACTTACCAGACCTTATTGTGGCCTAAACAAGCTGCGGACGAGGTTACTCGTATGCTTTTCGCGCGGATATACGGATCAATGTTTCAGCCCCGATGCCATTACCTTAAGTACTTTCGTCCGTGGCAGAAACTACCTGCGAATCTCGCGTTTACACTCAGTGTATCGCTTCCTCTCCTACTGGTTTTGAGTTAAAACCTTTTAATTACGCGGTTTAATTAAACGCTCCTGCTGGGGGTGGTTTAACGACGCGCTTCTCCGGGAAAGTGAATTTCGTAGAGACGTTTCTGGCGACCGGCTGGATTTCGGGCGTTAGAGAGAGGATGAGAGGAAGAGGAGATCGGGATTAGATCGGAATTAGGACGCGAAATAGGGGTGCTTCGTTGCTTTGGAATTTTTTGAATGGGATTAGGCTGAAATCAGGATATTGGAAAGGGGTGAGTGGTTGCTCGGGGTTTGAGTAACCTTTTGAGGAATTTGAGGTGAGTTTGGGTTGAAATTAGCACGTGAAAGGGGGCTTTATGGCGAAACGAAGCTTTTTGAATTTTGAAGAAGAATTGAGTCGAGATTAGGTGGAAATTAGGACATGGAAAGGGAATTTACAGTCAGTGGAGATTTTTGGAATTTTTGTAGAAAAGGTTAGGTTGAAATTGGAGGACGAGAGAGGAGTACATGGTCATTCGAGGGCCTTGGAATTTTTGGAGGGGCTACAAGTGAGGTTAGGTTGAAATTAACACATGAAAATTGATTTCATAGTAAAATGAAGCTTTCTTGAATTTTGAAAAAAAATTTAGTCGAGAATAGGTGGAAATTAGGACGAGGAAAGGGAATTTACAGACAATGGAGATTTTTGGAATTTTTTTACAAAAGGTTAGGTTGAAATTGGAGGACGAGAGAGGAGTGCATGGTCATTCGAGGGCCTTGGAATTTTTGGAGGGGCTACAAGTGAGGTTAGGTTGAAATTAACACATGAAAATTGATTTCATAGTAAAATGAAGCTTTCTTGAATTTTGAAAAAAATTTTGTCGAGATTAAATGGAAATTAGGACTTGATAAGAGGGCTTACAGTCAGTGGATATTTTTGGAATTTTTTTATAAAAAGTTAGATTGAAATTGGGAGACGATAAAGGAGTGCATGGTCATTCGTGGTTTTTGGAATGTTTAGAGGGGCTTGAATTGAGGTTAGGTTAAAATTAACACATGAAACTTAGTTTTATGGCGAAACGAAGCTTTTTGAATTTTGAAGAAGAATTGAGTCGAGATTAGGTGGAAATTAAGACGAAGAAAGGGAATTTACAGTCAGTGGAGATTTTTGGAATTTTTTTTAGAAAAGGTTAGGTTGAAATTGGGGGACGAGAGAGGAGTACATGGTCATTCGCGGGCCTTGGAATTTTTGGAGGGGCTACAAGTGAGGTTAGGTTGAAATTAACACATGAAACTTAGTTTTATGGCGAAACGAAGCTTTTTGAATTTTGAAAAAAATTTTATCGAGATTAGATGGAAATTAGGACTTGATAAGAGGGCTTACAGTCAGTGGATATTTTTGGAATTTTTTTATAAAAAGTTAGATTGAAATTGGGAGACGATAAAGGAGTGCATGGTCATTCGTGGTTTTTGGAATGTTTAGAGGGGCTTGAATTGAGGTTAGGTTAAAATTAACACATGAAACTTAGTTTTATGGCGAAACGAAGCTTTTTGAATTTTGAAGAAGAATTGAGTCGAGATTAGTTGGAAA